TTTTAGCCACCTTTCTAGAATTCACAGGTAACTTAACTAGATCCTGGTATTGAAAAATGAAACCTATAATTACCAAACTATAATGACCTTAACCTTGAGAAAAGGATGTGGTCAGTCTCTTATACTTCATTTTATCTACCATCATGCCAATCACAATATTTATTAATAATTACAGAAGGAAAAGACTGATAATAGACACTGCTATCATCTTGATGATCTCACAGGATTATGAATAGATCTGTTTTGTGTTCCCACTGTCTTGTTTCAAACTGTAGCTATGCTGGTCAAAATGGCTAGTTTGTTTTTTAAATATATTTTATTGATTATGCTATTAGAGTTGTCCCATTCCCTCCCTCCATTTTTTTCCCCTCAGCCCTGCATACCTCCTCCTACCTGCATCTCCCCCCACCCTTTAGTTCAAGTCCATGGGTCAGACATGTTAAGTCCTTTGGCTTCTACATTTCCTATACTATTCTTAAGCTCCTGTCTATTTTCTACCTACCATTTATGCTTATTCTCTGTACCTTTTCCACCTCTCTCCCCTCCTACTCCCCTGCTGATAACCCTGTATGTGATCTCCACTTTTGTGATTCTCTTCCCGTTCTAGTTGTTTGTTTAGTTTGTTTTTGTTTTAGGTTCAGCTGTTAATAGCTGCGAGTTTGTTGTCATTTTACTGTTCACATTTTTTATCTTCTTTTTCTTAGCTAAGTCCTTTTAACATTCCATATAATAAGGGTTTGGTGATGACGAGCTCCTTTAACTTGACCTTATCTGGGAAACACTTTATCTGCCCTTCCACAAAATGGCTAGTTACTTTGCCCTACACTTTCTGGGTTCCTATTTTATATGATTAGAATATTACTGCATATTGGGGAAACAGTAAGTACCCCAATAAATGCTTATTTCATCTATGCCTCAGAAGTATGAAAAAGTCTGTTTGGAGATAGCAATTACTACCATTCACTGGACATGCTTTTCTTTTATGAAAAATACTCAGGCACTTCTGCTCTGCCTAGGAAGGCATTGTTAATCCACTATCATCTACTGGGTCTTCTAGCTTTGCCAAAACTGCAATAAGGGTGAGCCTTTTGTTTCAATGGAATGGCAGCAATCAAGGTTGGATGGCCTCTTCTGTCATCATCATTAAAGTCCTCTTAAAATTGTTTTCTTTTAAAAACGTCATCAGTAATTTTAATAAAATAAAAAACAATGAAGCAATCTAAAATGTGTACTGATTTCTACTCTAGCAAAGGATCCAACATACAAGATAAGCTAATGTAAATTCTTAATTCTTAAATCTCAAAGATTTGTTCATTTTCTTCTACCTCCTGAGTCTGTGATAGGTCTAGGGAGATAGGGTTAAGTACCCAAGTAACAAATGCTCTAAACCACCTAAACTAGGCTCAGCGTAACTATCATGATTTTAGGAGAAACAAGCCCCCCCCCCCCCCCGCCCGACCTATCCAAAAAAGAATGTGAATTTCTTTATCAGTCCTAGGTCTACCTAAAGCTCTCTAATGGGCTGTAGGTATTTTAGGGTAATTGTGGGCCAAAACAAACTGCCCTGGGCCTGCCAGACCCCAAATCTCCACCATTAGGTTTCTCTCTAAGATCTGGGGAAATGAACCTCAATATTTGTTGCCTATAGTCTCCTCAAGGACAAACCCAGGGTGGGCTTCCACAATCTTGGGGTTTTGTTTAAGATAGCCATCTGGAATTACTCTTGTCATTAACTAACAGTTTAAAATCATCTAACTCTCATTGCACTGCCCCAGTAAAAAACACTAACTCAAAGCAGCTTTATATGCAAGATTTTAGAAATGAGCAAAAAAGAAAGCAACAACAACAAAAAACTTCTAACATCAATATATATGTAGAGTGACAAAACTTCAAATATGAATTACTTCCAGAAAACATTTTTCAGAATGAAGACAAAACCAAATTGTCCTTTTGACAGTGAATTACTTTCATCACATAGGCTCACACTCAAAAGTAAATGAAAGGTAAAGCCAAAATTCTACTTATTTTAAAGGATGCTAAAGCAAGGTTAACATATATTTTTTTAAATGTCAAATAAAAATGGTACCTTGGGAACAAACAACTATTAAATAGAACTACGAGGAGGCTTAAAAATGTAATAACAATACGGGCTTAAAATTTTTAAATATTTTATATATTTAGCTTCTTGCAAGTTTGGCCTAAACCCAACCCCCCTTAAATTATCCTCTATCTATCTATCTATCTATCTATCTATCTACACATACACACACACTTTTTTTTTTGCTGGATCATAAGCCAATAACTTTCCAGAAGTGAGGTACAGGTTATTAAATTGGATTCTTCTTTGGCACTCGGTCTCTGACACATTCTAAATAAATTTATTTATGTTGACAAAGAGCCCTTTTAAAAACAAATTCATCTTGCAAAGGTTAATTTGATCAAGCCTCAAGAAAGACAGGGAGGAGGGAGTGATAAAGGAAAGAAGGGAGAAGAAATAATTTGAGAAATAAAGGCTATCTAGGACTATCAGAAGAGAACAAAAGATGATGAGAGAACCATGCTTTAAGTGAGGTAGGAAACGAACCAGAAAGTCTCAGACATAAATAAATAAAATGAGAACAAAAGCCTTCACTGGAGACACTGGAGACTGTGTACAATTCAGGCAATGAAAGCCATGCATGTTCTACCAGTGCCACAGACAGACACTAGATTAAACAACTTACAGGGTATACAGAATTGATATGCAGAATGCATTAAGCAAACTTCACTCAAGATTTAAAGAGCTCCATTCCAAACAGTTTACTGAAGTCTCTTTACTCCAGTGTTTTAAAAGAAGCTTTTTGCCAAGTTTCCAATAAGGGTCTCCTAAGGACCACATTCAGGTGGCTGAAATAATTATAAAATCCATGTTTATCAGTATTTAAAATGTGTGGTCCCAAATACACTCTAATTTAAAGTTCAATGTAAGGTTTTATTTATTTGTTGAATCCTCGGAGTCATTATTTCTTGGTCTTTTTTGCCATGTTTTAACTAGCCATAATATAAAGCAAAAAAGAGATTCTTTAAAATGAAAGGTTTCCTGCTAAACTGCTTTGCCACAAAGTAGGAAACAACGTAGACTAAAATACAGAACTTTGCTCCACTTTTATCCTTCACTCGGTATTGAAACCTAATATATCAAATGCTAGGAACCGAAGATGGAAAACTGAACAAAACAAAACAAACAAAGAACTGAACAAAACAGAGTCCCTGCCTTTGAGGAAATTGTAGTCAGTTGACAGAAAGAGACATATGAACAGCTACTACTACCTGATTAAGTTTTAGAGTAGGAGATACAGGCGGAACATAGCACAAATGAAGTGGTAAAAGCCACTAAGTCAGCCTGGAGGACTATACTAAGCTTGTTCAAGAAAATTTGATATTTAAATTCATCTGCGGTGAGGCAGTTAGGCTAGTCAATCTGTGAGGTCCTTCCTATTTAAAAAAGGGAGGGCAGAAAGTTGAAAGTCATAAAGACCTTTTTTTGGTCAAAAATGACTGGTGCAGAAGACAATTCCAGTTTCTTGGTTATTAATTTAATCTCTATCCAAAAAAGAATATTTATACAATCCTTATCTTCTCTCACAAACTTATCCTCTTCCTATATTCCTTTTCTCAGTAAACAGTAATAACACCTAAAACTTAACCTTCCACAGCAAACTAATCACCAATTTCTACTGATTTTACTCCATACTATCTCTTTATTCTGTGTACTTCTATCTCCAATTGCCCCCATCATCTCTTACCACAGAGGTTTCCAGTAGCCTCCAAGAGCGTTCTGGTCTCTGAAATCTCTCCTCCCAATCAACCAATTCTTCACACTGCAGCCAAACTGCTTTCCCAAACACAAATCTGATCATGTGACAGCCCATATTAAAATCATTCAACTGACCCCTACTGCTCTCAGAAAAAAGTCCAAACTTGCCCTGACTGGTGTGGCTCAGCTGGTTGGATGTCATCCAGGAAAGCAAAAGGTCACTAGTTTGAATCCCCGTCAGGGCACATGCTGGGTTGTGGGTTCAGTCCCTGGTTGGGGCACATGGCTAGGTTGTAGGTATGTCCCTGGTCAAGAACATACAAGCATGAGAGGCAACTGATCGATAGTTGTCTTTCACATCAATGTTTCTCTCCCCCTCTTCCTCCCTCCCTTGCCCTTTCTCTCAAAATAAATAAAACATTTTTTAAAAAAGAAATTCAAACTCTTCAGCATAGCTGTCAACCTCTGGCCTGGTTTGCCTCGTGTTACAATCTGTTATGCTCACATTGAACCTCTCAGAGTCTCTTTAATATACAGTGTCTACTCACTATCCTCTGTAGAACCTTTTAAGACTCCCTCAGAAAAGAATCAGGTGACCCTGCAAAATAATCTTGCAGCACCCTCTGCCTCTCCATTTCCATAGTCACCACACTATATAGTATTTTAATTGCCTGTCTGTCTCCCCGGGAAGTTGCAAGTTCCTTAAGGACAGAAATTATCTTATACATTCTTATATTTCCTATGTAAAGTATTATGTGTACCTGCCACTGACATACAGTTCATGCTTGGTAAAGATTTGTGGAGTGCATGAATAAATGAACAAACTGCAAAGGAAGAGAAATTCAATGTTCTACAATTTGTCATAATATGTATTAGCTATACTACAGACACCTAATTCTTTGGGCAAGACCATATTTAAGCCATAAGCCTATCACAATAAACCTGTTTTCAGGGACAGAAGTACAGAAGACTAAACCATAAACTCATAATTCAAATGAAATTAAAAATGTATTTCTAGTTTGGATAATAAAAGCTTACTATTTAAGTCATTTTCCTGAGAGAATACATATATATCAGAATCATGATATGCTATGCATGTCTTTAAAAGTATAACTACATATGCATTATTGTGTTATTTTCACAGGTGAAATATTGAGTTTTCTTTTTAAACATAAATGAAAGCTGCACTTCATTACTGACTCACCGATTCTTTTCCAGCTCATTGTGTGTAGACCTAAAAGGAAAAAAAAGAGCATTAGCCATGTTTTATTGCTAGGGTTATAGAAAGGGGGATTAGTTTAGTTGCTGCTATACCATGTTCAGTGAATTTATTTAACAATGCACTATATGGCCAGACTTCTATAATATTACTCATCAAGAGTAATTCATTGTATACAGTTCAACATTCATTAGGACTGTTCATCCAGATACAGTGCTTTCAGTCACCGTACTTTTTGGACTACAAAAGACATACCTCCCCCGCCAAATTTGGGAGGAAAATGGGGGTACGTCTTATAGTCCAAATGTAGCTTACCTGGCTTGCTGTGGGCAGGGGAAAGGGAGTGGCTGTGGAGCAGGGTCACAGGTTATTAAATATTTTACCACATTTTTTCCTTCAAAATTTGTTTTCTTATGTTCCTCCTCTAGAACCTAGGTGCATCTTATGGTCCTGTGCATCATGTAGTCATAAAAACATGGTAATAACTCTAAATATTCTGAAACTGGAGTTTCATTGTTCTTTTACTAAAATTAATATTAGAACATGTTCTTCTGCCTATTTCTAGTATCTCACATTTTGGTGGTTTGTAAATATTATATCAAAAAATTTAATTCAAATATAATCTCATTTTTGTTTAAAAACAGAGAAAAAAGTACGTGCTTCTATGTCCTCTTCCATCTCCACTTACTCCTAAACACAGGAAAAAAAAGTTTTAGCCAGCATAGAAGCTGAAACTGCCTTGCCTTACTGCTAAGCAATATAGAAAAATTCAAGCCTTTCTGCCTTTTGTGTAAAACATAAACAAGAGAAAGTTATAAAAGAAATGAAAACAACATAAATATAAGATTAATAAAATCAAGGAGCACGTTTTTTAAAAGACTGGGAGGATATACCTCAAAACACTAACAATTATTGTTTTCTTTTCACAACTATTTTCCTTTTGCTTTGTCAATATTTGTTATAATAATACAACCTATTGAGGAAGCAAAGTGTCTGCTAAAGAATGTACCAAGCAGTTAACATACATTATCTCATTTTAACCCCCAAACAGCCCTTGTTTTATAAACAAGATTACTGAGGCTCAGAAAGGTCAAGAGAGATGCTCTTGTCTCAAGAGTATAAGCAGCAGCCAAAGCCCAAGCTCTTAAACCACCTGGTGACAAGCAATACTGAAGAGAGGTTAAAGGCACAGATTCTAAGGCCACACTGCCTGGGTTCAAATACTGTGTTGCCTCGTTCAAGTCCCTTCATTTCTCTATGCTCAGTTTCCTTATCTGTGAACTAGGAAAAATAGTATTACTTCATATTACTATTATAGAAATAAATAAGCCTACACTGAACAGTAAAATATAACAAATTCTAGCCCTAGCTGGTGTGGCTCAGTGGATTGAGCACCGGCCTGTGAAGTAGAGTCACCAGTGTGATTCCCAGTTGGGGCAGGTGCCTGGGTTGCGGACCAGGTCCCCAACAAGGGGCACATAAGAAATAATCTCACACTGATGTTTCTCTCCCTCTCTTTCTTCTCCACTTCCTCTCTCGAAAAATAAAATAAAATCTTAAAAAGTAATAATAGCCCTGGCTGGTGTAGCTCAGTGGATTGAGCGCAGGCCTGCGAACCAGACAATCGCGGTTCGATTCCCAGTCGGGGCACATCCCAGCGTTGCAGGCCAGTTCCCTGCAGGCCAGTTCCTAGCAGGGGACGCACGAAAGGCAACCGTACATTGATGTCTCTCTCCCTCTCTCCTTCCCTTCCCCTCTAAAAGATAAATAAATAAAATCTTTAAAAAAAAAAAAGGGAAAGAAAAATGCCTCTTCTTTAAAAAAAAAAAGGAATAATAAAATATAACAAACTCTAAAGTTAGGTACTACTAAAATTGTGTTATACTACTGGTTCTCTTGAATGAACATGTATTACTTTTATAAAAATTTAACATTAACAATACAGGAATTTTATAAAGAAAATTTTAAGTTCTTGTCAATAGAACTAAAACTTTAACCATTTAATATAGTATAGTATATCCCAGTTAATGTCAAAGGCCTTTAGAATATTACATTACTGATGACTTTAATCTGATTTATAATTCCAATATTTAAAAACTAATTTCTAAATTTCAATAGTGTTTTTATCAATATAATAATTTTGTGAAAATTTTACCCACTGTGTTAGTACAAGTGCCAAAAGGCTTCTCTGAGTTACTATCTCCTATCCACCATTTGCTTCTTTGGCAATTTCATAAGGTCCAAGTGACACAGGATGAAAAAGACTGATGTTCATTTTCAAGAGATTATCTTAATAGAAGAACTTCTCCCTCAAAGAAGGTAAAAAAAAAAAAAAGAATCTTATGATGCTTCTAGAGATCAGCCAAACTAAAGGCAAGTATATGTATAACTCAGCTGAAAGAAACTATAAAAACATAGAACTTTCAGTCTTAGAGACTGAGAAGGTCAAAACCCAATAAATAAGTCCTATTACAACTATATCTCTATTACCATATGGGTTATAAAAAGTTTTCAGTTTTTTAAAAATATATTTTATTAATTATGCCATTACAGTTGTTCTATTTCCCCCTTCATTCCCCTTCACCCTGCACACCCCCTCCCCCACCATTCCCCCCTTTAGTTTATAATCATGCGTCTCAAGTTCTTTAGATTCTATATTTCCCATAATATTCTTGCCCTCCCCCCTATCTATTTTCTACCTATCATCTATGCTACTTATTCTCTGTACCTTCTCCCCCCTTCTCCTTCTCCCACTCCCCTGTTGCTAACCCTCCACATGATCTTCATTTCTATGGTTCTGCTCCTGATCTAGCTGTCCTCTTAGTTTGCTTTTGTTTTAGGTGTGGTTGTTAATAACTGTGAGTTTGCTGTCCTTTCACTGTTCATCTTTTTTATCTTCTTTTTCTTAGGTAAGTCCCTTTAACATTTCATATAATAAGGGCTTGGTGATGATGAACTCCTTGAATTTGATCTTATCTGAGAAGCACTTTATCTGTCCTTCCATTCTAAATGAAAGTTTTGTTGGATAGATCAATCTTGGATGTAGGTCTTTGGATTTCATGACTTGGAATACTTCTTTCCAGCCCCTTCTTGCCTGTAAGTTCTCTTTTGAGAAATCCGCTGACAGTCTAATGGGAACTCCTTTGTAGGTGACCGTGCCCTTATCTCTTGCTGCTTCTAGGATTCTCTCCTTCATTTTAATCTTGGCTAATGTAATGATGATGTGCCTTGGTGTGTTCCTTCTTGGGTCCAACTTCTTTGGGACTCTCTGAGCTTCCTGGATTTCCTGGAAGTCTATTGCCTTTGCCAGATTGGGGAAGTTCTCCTTTATTATTTGTTCAAATAAATGTTCCACTCGTGGCTGTTCCTCTTCCCCCTCTGGTACCCCTATAATTCAGATGTTGGAGCGTTTAAAGATGTCCTGAGGTTCCTAAGGCTCTCCTCATTTTTTTGAATTCTTGTTTCTTCATCCTTTTCTGTTTGGTCATTTTTTTCCTCTTTCTGGACCACTCCTTTGATTTGAGTCCCAGTTTCCTTTCCATTACTATTGGTTTCCTGTGCATTTCCATTCATTTCAATTAGTTTAGCCTTCATATGTTCCTCTAATTTGTGACTAAAATCAACCAGTTCTGTGAGCATCCTGATCACCAGTGTTTTGAACTGTGCATGTGAAAGTTTGTCTATTTCTTCATTGCTTAGATTTATCAGCTCTGGGGCTCTGAGTTGTTCTTGAGCCATGTTTTGATCGGTTGGTGCCTGTTATGTATGAGGAGCAGAGCCTTAGTTGTTCACCAGGGTGGGGCCACCCAGGTGGCTGGTTTGTGATGCTGTATTTGGGGGCGTGGTCAGAGAGGGACAATGGTGGTTCCCTCTGCCGATTCCTGCTGCTGGGGCCTGCTCGGTCTGTCTCACTGCTGGCTCCTTCACCGGTTTATCTGCGTGCGAATGTGTGACCGCGATCAGCCCTCAGTGGGTCCGCCCACTTCTCCACACCTGGGATCCACCCACAGCTGCTGGCGCACCTGGGTTGCACGCCCGGGTTGGTCCAGTGGATCTTTCCTGGCCAACCCTGCTCTGCTGCTGGCTCTGCCCCTCTTACCGGTTTGGCTGAAGGGTTTATGGTTGTCAGACTTCCATGTAGTTCAGTTTTCTGTGGTTTGGCTGTGTTTTTGTTGCTAAAACTTTGTTATTTTTAAACTTGGTTGTGCGAGAAGGCACAGTGCTTCCACCTACGCCTCCATCTTGGCGGAAGTACCTTCAGTTCTTTTTTATTTGATTGAAATGTCAAAGTAAATCAATAAGGTAAAAGACGGAAACAAAAAATATCATTCAAAATTTGAATGGATAATCAATACTTGAATGGGTAATCAATAAAATTCCCCACTCCCTCTTAGTAAATTTTGGTTTAACTGCCATTATCTGAAAAGAAAACTTAGAACAAGTAAAACAAAAGCAATGAAATACAAGAGTAAGTAATAAATGGAAACAATTTATTTAAAGAGAAGTAGACTATGTACTATAAACCTATTCTAAACAGTCTGGCAATCCAATATATGGCCATAAATACAAAAGATAATATACCCACACAAAACCAACTGTTGAATTCCAATACTCTATTGAGCCTATTACCAAAGAAGCACCAAAAGAAAACAAGCCGACCCTCTGCTATTAACAAAATTAAAACAGCAAATTCTTCTAACCTCTCTCTCACTTTATTTATCTTCTTTCTTAAAAAATATACAACAATAACTAAGAATATGAACCTTTTCACCAAACCAGAAAATGCATGCCATTTCTAGCTATACCACTAGTTAAGTTTAACAAGATTTCCATATACCAAGAAGCAAAAATAATTATACATAAGAATCTTTATCATACTGCCATGCCCTTCAAACTTTCAGAAAAAGCACCAGTAGTATTTACTTATATTTTGATGGCTGTTTTTTTGCCTGTAATCTTAAGTCAACAAATAGTGAGTATCTTAAATGTTCAAGGATGTCTTAGGCTGTGGGGAA